GTTGGCTTAAATAACACAAATTGATTTTCTCAGTTGTGGAGCTTAGAAGGTTAAGGTCAAGATGTTTGGTTCCTTGTGGGAAAGAAATTTTAAATGAAAAAAAATCTCATCACAAGCATTCTTGTCTCATTTTACTGTGCCATGTTTGTTTTCTTGGTACTTATAAACATACATATTCCCCCCAGCCCAGATCTCTTTCCCCAAATTGCTGTTATAAAACTATATTGTGCTGAGTGGATGCATTCATACACACTGACACAGATCTGGAGTCTGAAGTAGATAAAGCAGCTGTGTCTGAGAAATACATTCACAGCTGCAGAAGCCATGACAGACAGGTAGGAACTGTGTGTGTGTGTGTGTGTGTGTGTGTGTGTGTGTGTAAGAGAAAGAGAGAGAGAGAGAGAGAGAGACAGAGACAGAGACAGAGAGACAGAGAGAGAGGGGAGAGAGAGGGAAAATGATTTTAATCACAAACAAAAAATGTCCAGTGAGTTGTGGAAGAATTCTGGTTTCCACATCATCCTATAGAAAAATTTATGAGAGTTTGGGGGAAAAAGTTATAAAAGTTGATTGTAAAAATAAACAGAGTATCAAAGTTCTAAAACCAGAACTCATTTTGTGCAAGGAACATAAGGAAAGACTATCATGTAGTTTTTTTTTCTTCCAAATAAAGAAAAGTGTTGCTTCAGGGCTGCATATTTTTATTGGCGTACATCAGAATGATCTTGTTCCTTTGGAGTAAAAGTAGTGCTTGCCAATTTCCAACTGATAAAAAACTTAACACCTAAGTAAACTAGGCAAAAGCTTCTTATTTATTTATTTTTAAAAAGACCAGGTGCTAGTGGATCTGAGGATCTAGGTTCAAAGCCAGCTCGGTCAGTAAAGTCTGTGAGATTTTTATCTGCAATTAACCACCAGAGAAATCAGAAGTGAAGCTGTGGCTCAAAGTGGTAGAACTCTAGCCTTAAGCAAAAAGATCTCAGGAACAGCGCCCAGGACCCAGACTCTGAGTTCAAGCCCCAAGACTGACAAAAAAAATAAAAAGGTGGGGACAGAGGGAATTAATTCCTCTCAAGACCACTCTTTGGCTTGCCAGTAACAGCCATTTCAGAATCACTTGGCCTCTGTGTGCATACTCCTGTTTCTCCTTTTCTTTTAATGACACCAGCCCTTTGGGATTATGACATCATTTAACTTTAATTTCCTTCCAAAAGTCTCTATCTCGGAGCATAGTTTCATTTGGGGTTAGGGCTTTAAATTATGAATGTTGGGGGCCCAGACTCCATCAGCCATAGTTGCCTGTGATGAAGTTAAAGATGAAGAGCAAACTCATCTGTGTTAAAGTGAATGGAAAGTCAGATTGACATGAATTCAGAGGCGAGAAGGAAAGAATGTGGGTTGGGTGGCACATGATTTTGTTTTCACACTTCAGTTTTTTCAGTTTGAAGCTGGACCATAATATCTTTCCATCTAAAAATCATCCAGCTCGTTACCTTTCCCCATTTTTGTTTTTGTTTGTTCGTTTGTTTTTGTACGTGTATGTGTGCCAGTCCTGGGGCTTGAATTCAAGGCCTGGATGCTGTCCCTGAGCTTTTCTGCTCAAGGCTGACACTCTACCCACTTAAGCTACAGCCCTTTTTCCAGTTTTCTGGTAGTTAATTGTAAATAATAGTCTCATGAACTTTCCTGCCTGAATTGGCTTCAAACTGTGACTCTCAGATTTTAGTTCCCAGAGTAGCTGGGATTTACAGACTTGAGCCACCAGCGCCCAGCCTTCCTGTGTTTATCTGTCTGTGTTGGTCTCTCTTCTCTGGGATAGATCATCTTCAAGTAGGATGATCTCTCACCAGATCCCAAACAAAGATTTTATTACAAACCATTTATTCAGGAGAGGATTCCTGCCAACAGCTATAAGGAAGTGAGGAAGTGGGGCTAGAAAAGGAGGGAAGGAAATAAAGGGTGCCTTTATGAGTAGATCATCCCTGGGGCCAACTGGCCCTCAGTCCTGCTGGTGCATGGGGAATGCTTCCGAGATGTCCTACCCAAGGAGCAAGGAAACTGGAGCATTTACCCTGCACTTCTCATCCAGCACTATGTGGTTGTAGTACCTTGGGGGTGTGACTTGTCAAATATTTTTTTTCTGGCCTGCTACCTGGAGGAGGAGAAAGAAGGAGGAACCAAGTAACTACTAGTAGGAAGAGAGAGATTCATTTTATTTAAAAAAAAGGTATCCTGCAGCTCTAGTAGTTTCTGTTTTCATTTACTTTGCTGTCACTACTTTAAAGATACTCTGTAATTTAGAGTCAACATTAATGTTGATTCTTGACTAAGTTTAAATTGATGTAGATTTCATATTCTTTTACTCTCCATGTCCTTTGCAGTCTGCAAGTCCAAAGGTATGTATTGCATACCAAGATCTGAAAACCTACATCAGAGTATGAAGTAAAGGGGAAATGATGAAATAGCTACAGCGTAACAGGCCGCAGCTGTCAAGTAAGAATGATGACACAAATTTCAAGGAAAGCTGAAAAACCCAAGCATGAGAAGTTACTTACTAACAGTGGTCAAGATCACAACCTCTGGAGTCACAGAACATAAGTTCGAATCAAATTTTACCAAGTATTAACTATATAACTGTAAGCAATTAAATAAATAAATAAATATTTTTTGTGCCATTCCTGGGGCTTGAACTCAGGGCCTGAGCTTTTCAAAATTTATTTTAAATTTATTTTTTATTTTTTCTTTAGGCTACTCCTGAGAAGCTAGGATTACAGGCATGAGCCACCTACTCTTGGCTATTATCTTTTTTCTTTTCTTTTGCCAGTTGTGGGGCTTGAACTCAGGGCCTAGGCACTGTCTCTGGGCTTCTTTTTTTCCCTTTTAATTGTTTATTATAATCGGAGTTTTCTTTTCTTTTTAAATTTTATTTTTCATTGAAAAGGTGATGTGTTGCGGGGTTACAGGTAAGACAATAAGTACATTTTTTTTATAAACCTATTTTTTATTGTGAACATACTGTACAGAGGGGTTACAATTACATGGGCAAGATAATGAGTACATTTCTTATCAAGCATTGTAGCCTCCTCCTTTGTTTCCCCTTCCCATCTCTTTGAATCCTCCCCTGTCCTCCCCACCAAAGTTGTAAAGTTTGGTTTTTGACATACCGACTTGTACATCTTAATGTTGCAATGGGTCCTCCTGTATCCCTGTTTTAACGATTTGTTTTTTCCCTTCCCCTCCATATATACCAACATCAAATACAAGTGAAAGCAGGGGTTATACCATGGGGGAGGGACATACAAAGCAAGTACATTTATTTTTAATCATCATATTTTTAATCATTCATATCCCACATAGTGTCAAGTATTAATGTTACTGTGTTTTATTCATTGTTCTGTCTCTGTGATTCCCTTTCCCTTCCACATATAGCGTTGTCTATTATGCAAAACAGGAGGTACAAAAAACTAAATGAAGAAAGAAAAAGAATCTGAGTTTCTTTTGCTCAAGGCTAGCACTCTACCACTTGAGTCACAGCGCCACTTCCTGCCTTTTCTGTTTATTTGGTACTGAGGAATTGAACCCAGGGCTTCATGCATGCTAGGCACTCTACCACTCAGCCACCTTCCTAGCCCCCATCCATTTTTCTGATGATCAATGTTTAGTAAACATCAGTTATAATGGGGAGACTTCCACACGTGTATACAGTGTATCCCCATCAATGTCCCCTCCCATTACTCTCCCCATTCAAATCCTTTTTAAGTCAGTTTCAATAGGTTTCATAGTTCTATTATCTAAAATACCTGGATCATGTTGATTTTTTCCCCAGTTATTTATTATCTTCCTGTCCTCACAGAATAAAAATACCTTGAGGACAAAGCCCAGTCCGGAACTTCAGGCCTGTGACAGTTCATGGCATTTGGAGAACACTCCCATTTTGGTGAGTCAGGAGAGCAATGAAGTGCCACTACTCCCCTGGGAGGATGACTTAGATCTGAAGCTGTTTCTCCATTTGCTGGTTGGATGTCATTAGGCAAGTCATGTTACTTGTCTCTGCCTCACTTTCATGGCATCTAAAATAGAGATTCTGATGACTTATACTGCATAGAAGTGTGTGTGTGTGTGTGTGTGTGTGTGTGTGTGTACTAGAACTTGAACTCTGGGCCTGGTCGCTGTCCCTGAGATCTTTTGCTCAAGGCTAGCGCCACTTCTGGCTTCTTCTTCTTCTTTTTTTTTGGTAATTAATTGGAGATACGAGTCTCACAGACTGTCCTGTTCCAGGTGGCTTCTAGCCGGGGTCCTCCGATCTCAGCCTCCTGAGTGGCTGGGAGTGCAGTTGTGAGACAGTGGCCCTGGCATTCATGTGATTTTTAAATACAGGTACCTAGGACAGTGCCCGGCACACGAGGAGTCTTACACGAACGCTTTCTACAATTCAGGAGCAGAAAATACCTGAGTAGCTCGCACGGTCCTGTCCTCTGCCCAGGTGCTTCAGCTTGCCAGCGTTCCCCGGTTACTCTCAGGGTAGAACGCTGGTATCCCTCGGGGTTCCGTGTCGCCCGGGGCCCCGCTGTCACCGGCGGGGCGGGCGGGGCCACGCTCAGCGGGAGGGAAGGAGCAGTTTCGGGTTCCCACAGGGGGCTCGGCCCCGCGGGTCGATGGCCCTGCGATGGGAAGCCGGGACTTCGGGAGCCTCAACGCCACGTCCGAGGAACAAACGGGACGCTTCCTGAAACTCTGGGAGAAGGAGCCTCAGCGCGCTCCCGACCTACTTTGGTAACCGCAGCGGCTGGGCGGAGCGATCGGGCGGGGCTGGTCGTTCAGGGGCGGGGCAGACCGCTAGGGGGCGTGGCTGATCGATGGGGGTGGAGCGAAGCAATCAGGCGGAGCTGGTCGCTGGGGGGCGGGGCAGAGCCTTAAGGGGCGTGACAGAGCTCTAGGGGGCGTGGTTTATCGGTCGGGGGCGGAGCGCTCGGGGACGGGGCCGACGCTGCTCTCTCTCGGCGGAGCGCAGAGCCAGTCAGACCTCTCACTGGCCGCGGCTCGGCGCAGCGGCGCGCTCCAGCTCAGGTAAGGCGCTGCAGGCGCCGCTGGGGCTGCTGGAGTGACGGGACTCCGGGCGGGGGCGAGTCGGGTCGCGGGGCTGGCGCGGATTCAGGTGGCTTCCGCCTGCCGAGGGATGGACCATCATGGAACGGGGCTAGCTTTCTTACCTTTCACGTCGCGGCTGCGCGGGCGCGGGGCGCCGGGGCCAGGTGAGAGACCGGTCCCTCAGGTCCAGGAAGACGGGGCAGGTGCGCGCCCCCGCGCGGACACGCCTTCCGGCCGGCGGCCGCGTGCCGGCCTCCGGGGCTCCAACTCGGAGTTCTAGTCGGGAACACCCGCCCCGCTCCTTTCTTCCTGGCGTCTCTGGGCCGAAGCCACCGGCGTCGGGTTGCCCCAGCTCAGGGGCAGGGTCGATTCCTCCTCTCGGGATTGAAGCTTGGAGGAATCCGGGAAGGTGTTCCCCGGGGGCACGTGTCAGTGCCCCACTCCACCAAGTTCATCTCCCCCCTCCCCCCCACTCCTTTCTGGGACTTTAGACTTGGATCTTGAAAGCAGAGACTCTGGGAGTATCAGGAAAAGCTCAGCCCCCTTCACCCAGGAGTGTACACTTGGGTACTGAATTTCCTCTGCCCTTTTATTTTTATGGATCACAGACTTGCATCTGTGTGCCAGGCGTAGGAACAGTCTCACCTCCTGTCATTCTTTGCAGAGTGGCGTGTTTGGTCCAGGAGCTGATCTTAGTGTTAAGTGGGAACCGCAGGATGGCTGGTGGTAAAGTAGGTTCGAAGGCTGTCCAACATAGTTATACATTTTGCACATATTTTTCCAGTGAGAGCCTATTTTCCGGTTAAGAAATTCTGACAGTTTACTACCTTCTTGATGATTCTTTTCTGCAGAGCTGGGAAGGAGGAAAGAACAAGAAAAAGCACCAACACAGCAGGTCTCCTCAATAATTTTTGGGATTTAACAGATTAGTTTTTATGACAGTAATAGGTAGCTCTATAGTCCTCAAGTATAGTGTGGAATACCATATTTATGTGGGGAAAAGTATGGCTCTCAGGAGACTGAGACAGAAGATGAGTTTGAGGCTAGCCTAGACTACATAGTGAGTCCTGGCAGAAAAAGGAAAAAAAGAAAAAAAAATCAAAGTTAAATTAACAGTAAAAAGGGAAAAATAAGGGTAATTTTCTACCTTAAATATTTGACAGTATTTTAAAATTACGTTTTCAATGTTTACAAAGACGCTTTCCCCCATACTCCAGTATTATTACTCTTGTCTACTCAGGATGCTTACGGTAGAGTGTTTATGTTACTGAGCTTCATTCTTCTTACCTGGGTGTGTATGTTCCGGTTCGTGTATTGTACAAGATAATTGTAAACACATGCAAATCAGTGTTGTGCTGTAATTGGCAAAACCTTTGCCCTACATACATCCTTAGCCTAAAATTTTTAATCTTCCCAAATAGGAGAAAATATAGAATGTTAATGTATACTGTAGCATTTTCATGATATTTATCTACTTCACTCTATATGGAAGTGGTCTTTTTTTCTCAGTACTTGGCTACTCAAGGGTAGGGGCTGTATTTTATTGAACTATAGTAAATCTCAGAGAATGGCAACCTTTACTCCTTGCAGAGACCTTTGAAGGGGAAGTTGGATGGATTGTGGGCAGTGACTGACCTACTTTGTTGCTTGGAGAATTACTGGCCTCATTGCCTTCCTACAGGCACACAGGGTGCTAAGAACCTTGTCCTTGGGCCTGTAACACGACTGCATACAGGTTCTTCCAGGATGACCCTATTGGTGGTCTTCTAGCTCCCTTGCTCCCTGGAGAAGAGCCTGTTGTTCAGTCAGGGAGCTTTGGTCCACAGAGTGTGAAGAAGTATTGATCCTCAGCTTGTTTTTAAGTACTGAGTACTTAGTAGATGTCTGAGGATAACACTGTCAGATGGCTTGTGCAGAGCTCTTCTTATCTCTTCTTGTCCAGCCTACAGTAGGCAATGTAGAAAAACTGAAGCTGAGCAGGCGTCAGCAGTCTTGGGAGCCAGCTGTTTTTGCCGAATTAGGGTCATAGATTGGTATTAAAGTCTATTAGAAGTGAAGTTGGCTAATGGTCACTGGCAGTTGTAAAATTAACCTGTTCCATGTGATTATGTCATTAGAAGAGCATTGTTGAAAATAGCACCAAAAAATAACCTAGAAGAGAGCCTTAGTTGTTGCTGTACCTCCAAACTTGCCTCCTTCTGGACTTGTCTTTTTATCTTTGTCCTGGCTCAGAAAGACTTTCCTTGGAATGGATTATTGCTATTAATTTTTCTACCATATTTGACCACTCAGAGCTCAGATGATCACAGGTTATATATGTGGTATAAATGTAGGCAATTTATTTTTTCTTTGGTTTAAAGGAGACAAAAATGGAATCTTTCAAAAACAAGTTGCTATTGGGGAGATAAATGAGCAAACCTATAAATATGGATGAGCAGAGAATTCAATATGGTTTTGTTTTGCTCTTTTAACTTTTATCCAGGCTATATTTCTCTGTTCTTAGAAACAATAATGCATAATTTGTTGGCGTTTATTGAGGGTAGTTGATACTTCCTGAGTTTTTCAGTTTTAAGCATTCTCTGTGGACTTCCCATTGTGGAAGAGAATGAGTTGGCTTTTTCCCTTCCACCCCCACCGTCAACACAGCTTCCCTATTTTCCTATCTTTGCAGTAGTTAGCCCAGAATATTGATGAGTGGTTAGATCAATATTACTAGCTAAGCCAAGCATGACTTTTTTGTTTTCCTTGGAATCAATAATTACTTCATATGCTCCTTTTGTTTTCTCTTCCTGTCAATTCAGTCTACAAATTTTGGCCAGTTTGTAAAAAACTGAAGTGTGTTAGGACATCTGTCAATTTTATTTTCTGTCAATTTTATTTTCTCTCAAAAGTCTTCCTGGAACCTCCTGGCTTGCTACAATCTGGAGTGGTTGCCTTTTATATGTAGGACTTAGTCTCTCTGAGGTCCTCCCTTCATTACCATAATGGGGATTTCCATCAGGTTGAGACTCCTGGTACCCATATATCTATATATCAATATCTATCTATCTTAATCTCTAGCTTGCTCCCTCTAAATCTCTATATAGATCTATAGCCCTATAGAGATATATAAATATAGAGATGGATAGATAGATATTGGTATATAGATATCTATATGTCCTTCCACTGTATTGGTGGATTCTTTCGTTTTAGTGTTCATCTTTTAAGAGCTTTGGAAAAGAGTCTTTGTGAGATCATAATTGCCTGAAAATATCTCTTTTCCACTAATTTATAGTTTGGCTGAGTATGGAATTCCAGGATGGAAAATTTGGAAAGCATTGTTCCAGTGCATTCTAGATTGTGGTATTGCTGTTGAGAAATCCAAAACTGTTCTGACTCCTCAATTTTGCCTGTAGTCATTCTATGTATGGGTTACATAACAGCTGGCTGTATTCTCTGCAGAAGTATGTTGTTTTTTTTTTTGGTCCATAATCCTTAAATTTTAGGATGCATTGTGCTGAGCTCTTTGAATCTAGAAATTTAAACCCTAAAGTTTGGAAATTTTTTCTTTCTTTTTCTTTTCTTTTTTTTTTTTTGGAGGGAGGGAGGGAAGGTGCTGGTCTTGGGACTTAAACTCAGGGCCTGGGCACCATCCCTGAGCTTTTGTACTCAAGGCTAGCATTCTATCACTTTGAGTCACAGTTCCACTTCTGGTTTTTTTTTTTTTTTTTTTGGTGCTCAATTGGAGATAAGAGTCTCATGGACTTTCCTGCCTGGGCTGGCTTTGAACCTTGACCCTTAGATCTTATTGTCCTGAGTAGCTAGGATTATAGGTGTGAATCTCTGCGCCTGGCTTGAAAAGGTTTCTTTGTCTCTTTGGCTATTCTCTTTATTTTCTCTGATGTTTCTTTTAGAAACTCTTGTTCAATATTGGATATTTTGAATTAGGTCTCTAATTTTCTTATCTTTCCTTTTTGTAATTTCTGTCCTTTTATTTCCTTAAACTACTTTCAGGGGAGATTTTCCCAGTTCTATTACTCAAGCATTCCAAATTTTAATGACTATAATCATCTTTTCAATGTTGTAAGTTAAAAGCTTTTTTCTTTGCCTTCTCCCCTTTCTCCACATTTAAAATTTTGGGTGCCAGTACTGGCTTAGATGCTGTCCCTTAGCTTTTTTGCTAAAAGATGGTGCTTTACTACTTGAGCCACATCTCCACTTTCAGTTTTTTGTCATTAATTGGAGAGAAGAGCTTTTTTGAACATTTCTTTTGGCCTGTGCTGGCTTTGAACTATGATCCTCAGATCTCAGCAACCTGAGTAACTTACCTCATTTGTTTATTAGTTTTTGTGTGTTTATGTATTTCTCTTCTTTTTGGGTAAGGATTTAATCTCCTCAGATTGTTTAATGAGTGTTTGGATGTTTTTCTTTTTCTTCCTTTGTGTGTAGATTCAGTTTGCAAAAGTTGCTCTTGACTTTTTACTGTTCAATTCTCTGTCTCTTTCATGTGAGAGGCTTTTCTCGTGTTTCAGAGGCCCTTTGTTTTCTGTTTACATTCCAGTGAGAATGGGGGATTAAAAAGCTGAAGGGATGGATGTGTTCCTTAGCCATGAACTTCAATGTAGGGTGATCTGGAGACTCCTCAGAGAAGATGTTTACAGTCTTCTTAAGGTTGAAAGAGAGCCTGGCTGCCAGTGATACAGGAACTAAGTGAAGAAGAAAATTAAGTCTCAGCCTTTAGTGTGCAAATGTTCAAGTAACCAGTCCTTCCCTGTTGTTTTCCCTAAGTCAACTGACCTGTGCCTGATATACAGAGGTAGGGTAGATGGGGAAGAAACACATGGTTTTTTGTTGTTGTTGTTGTTGTTGTTATGGGTAGAGAAGAAGCACTTGACTAAAGAGTCAAAGTCTAAAGAGACTTCCAGTCAATTCTCTTCCTTTTTCAGTCCACCCCACTAAAATGTTTTTTCTCTTCTCTTATGGCTGATATATGTGTATAT